GAAGGGTGCAACAATGAATGAATGGAATTTCAAAATCTCTGTAGATGTTCATTGAAATGAAAAATAAATTAATTAAAATATTTTTTAAAAGTATGTATGATTAGATATTATTGTCATGACATGAGTCCAGAGCAAAGGCTGCATAGTGGAGTGGACTTGGGGGAGGCATTGTATAAAAATGAAAGAATTTTTCTTTTACTTTTCAAAGAGAAGAATGAACTGCAGGGGAGAAGTGGGCAGGGAGAAAAGTACATCATGAATGAATGGAAATCCAAAATCTCTGTAAATTTTCATTAAAATGAATGATAAAAAATATTTTTTAAAAAGGGAATAAAAGACTAAGGTGCACCTGATCCAGTCTATGATATTCTCACTTGTTTTCTCTGTTTCTTAAAGTTGGAAAAAGAATAAGATGACAGAAGATGAATCAATGCCTTTGAGTTATGGTATTGGAAAAGAATATTGAATACCCCATGTACTGCCAAGAGTACAAACAAATATGTCTGTCTTCGAGGAAGTCCATCTATGATTCTCCTTAGAGGCAAGGATGGTGAAACTTCATCATCTAGTCTTTGGGCATATTGTTAGACGGGGCCAGTCCTTGGAAAAAGACATCATGCTTGGAATTGGAAAAGTAGAAGGTTGGAGAAAAAGAGGAAGACCCACAACAATATGGATTGATACAGTGACTGTAACAAAGGATTTGGGAATACCAGATCATGAAGATGTCACAGGATAGGACAAGGTTCAGATCTGTCATTCGTAGGATTGCTGTGTGTCATAATTTACTCGACACCCAACAAAGACAACATTTATTGGATTTGAAAACTAACGTGACCTTTGTTAGATCACTTAGTGGATTTGGCCAGTAGTTTCATGGAATCATGAGGACAAGAGGAAAAATGGATAGTGATTATGGTTGAACCACATAGAGATGGAATTAATGTCCTAGATTGAACATGTAAAAAATGCTGAGAGGCAAAGAGGCTTATTATACATATCCCATCACAATTGTAAAAGAAGAAATACGACCTGAGAAAATAGAAACAGCAAGTGCCATACACAAGGTCAGCCCTTTAAGAGGTCAGGCAGTGGTGGAGAGGAAGTGAGGCTGGGAGGAAAGGGAAATGGCACTCTGAGGAAGGGAAGTGAGGCTGTGGGTAGAGGAAGCAAGGCAGTGATGTAAGGGAAGTGAAACAGGGTGGGGAGAAGTAAGGAAATGATGAAAGGGTAGCAAGACTGGTGAGAGGGAAGGGAGACTGGGGAGTGGAAGTGAGGCTGGGATGAAATGAGACAGCAAGGGAAGTGAGGCTGTGGTGAGAAGGAAGTGAGGCTGGGAGAAAGTGGGGCTGTGAGTAAGGGAGTGAAACTGGGGGGAAAGGGAAGTGAAACTGATAGAAAGGAAATGAGACTGAGGAAGGAAAGTGATGTGGATTCCCCGCCATAGTCTCAGCCGGGCCGCAGCTAAGATCAGAGTCCAGCCAGGACTGAGCACCCTCTGCAAACAGAGAATTCTGCCCAGCCTCCCACCGGAGGGGATGCCATGTCTGAACTTTGGTCTTAGTTTAAAGATTAAGCTTACCCATTGTTATGTTGGCAACACTTAAATATAAGGAAAATATAGTCTTCGGAGACTGAACTTTTTTAGGATGATTGCCCTAAATGAAATAAAAACCATAGGGAGACTAAGAAAGTGGCCTTTTTACAGTGCTAAGCTGTGAGAGGACCTTTGCCTCAGCCTTCCCTCTTTCAGGATTCATTTTCCCGTGTCCCTCCTTTCTTTCTGCATCTGGTTTGCAAGAAAGTGAGGCTGTGGTAAGACAGAAGTGAAGCTGTGATATAAGGAAGTGAAACTGGGGCAAAGGGAGTGAGACTTTGATGAAAGGGAAATGAGACTGTGAGGAAGGGAAGTGAGGCTGTTGGGAGGCAAGAAGACTGGCTAGTGTGACTGGAGACAGCCTTGGAATCTAGAGTTTTTATATGTCATTCTGTCAACCTAGGCTGAATGAAACGAGCATAGTACGAGCCGAGTCATTTGAAATAGCAATTGACTAATGAGTCAGTGTTTTCAAAGTCACCAAAGGGAAGGAGCAAAGGCCCCAAGAGGGGACAGCTCGTCCCTGTGGCTACAGGAAAGAAGATGCCAGGTGTATTATGAGGGGAGGATGGGTGATGAAGCTTTCACTTCTGGTACTCATTGTCTCGAGATAGACAAGCCCTGGTGGTGCAGTGGCTAGTGCTCCCACCTGCTTATCAATCAGAAAGGTCAGTAGTTTGAACCCAGCAGCCACTCAGAGAAAGATGTGACAGTCTGCTTCTGTACAGATTTACCACCTCAGAAACCCTAAGAGTTCTCTACTCCACCCTCTAGGGTTCCTACAAGTGGAAGCAACTTGACAGGAGGAGGTGTGATTTGGGGGGGAGTAGATGAGTTTCTTCCTGAGAAGAAATGGATTTTGACAAGAAAAGATATTGGTTGTGGAGCTTGAAGAGAAGGTACAGCTTTGGGACAGCAGCTAGTAAGGACAAGTAAAAGAATCTTCAGTATTATCATCCCAGATAAAACTGGTAAACGTTAATTCAGAAACAGGCTCAAGCGTGTCAGAGATGAGGATAGGATTAGGGCACAGAATAGGGCAGGGTTCAGATCTGTTGTTGATAGGGTCACTATGAGTCATACTCAGCTCACAACAGCTAACACCACCAACAGCAACAATTCAAGGTGGAGTTAAATTGTTACGATGGTTTGCTGACCAGACCTGGAAAGGCAGATCACAGAACCACTCAAGGGAGACATGGGTTTGCAGGTTGGGGTGATGTTAACTCAGGTCTCCTAATGGCATTTGTTGTCTCCTGTTTGGGTGTCAGGTGCCTCTCGCGGGGACGCTGAAGCTGTCCCACTTACGAGAAGGAACATACATCTTCCAGCTGACCGTGACCGACACCGCGGGCCAGAGAAGCTCTGACAACGTCTCGGTGACTGTGCTCCCCCCGGCCGAGGCCCCCGGAGGTGAGGAGAAGCCCTTCCCTCTGCGGTCCGCAGTGGCCTCTCTGTGGAAGGAGGTGCTAGATGCTACTGTGCATCTGACTGAGCCACCCCACCCCACCCCGGGCTCTTCCAGTTTATTCTCGGGTCTAGAGTAACAATCTACTCAAAGTGTAGTAACAAAACCAGACCTCTTATATTTGGGATAAATGGCATTGCTGGCATCGCTTCCCATGGGCTGCACAAAAGCCTGTGAGATGGGCTGGACCTCACACGCATTCCCTTTGTTCTTAACTCATAAAAAACAGTTGTCTGGGTTTTGCTGAAGGTTGTTGTTAAGTGCCATCAGTTGAGACCCACTCCTACCTGCGCTGTGAACAATGGATCTGAACCCCATCCTGTGCCATCCCCATCACCTCTGATATACGGGAGCCCGTTGTCGCAGTCACTGTGTCAACTCACCTCATTGAGGGTCTTCCTCTTTATGTGGAGGGTGGTTAATGTGTGTATTCAGACAGTACAATTGAGCGGGGCATTCAAAAGAAATTACAACAGAAGAGTGCACATGTCAACTGAAAAGTGCTACTTAAAACTTTTCTACAGTTATACTGGGCAAAATATCTCAGTCATAAGAGAACAAATACTGTGTAGGAACACTGTTGTAAAACTAGGATGAATACAGACAGGCAGGATAAAGAACAGGAAGAGTGGAGAGTTAGTGAACACTGCCCTGGAACAGGTGAAGGGAAGGGCAATCTGAAAGGAATGGATATTAGACATTGTGTGTAATTAACAATCTACAACAGGACATGTGAAATGGGGGAGGAAAAGGGAGGGGAATGCCTATCAATAAATGCATGAAAACCCAACCTCTGTTTGTAAACGTTCAGTAAAATAATAATTTAAAATACAGATTAATTTTATAAAACATAATGCACGAGAATGATTGTATGAAACAGAATGTGAATGAAGAATAGGGTGAAAAACAATGTTTACAAACTTTGTAAGCAAACCAATAAAACAAAATTAGGGGGAAAGTGAATAAAAGTGTTTATAGACACACTGCCCAGATAAGGCAGCTCTGGCGGCCCCAGGCACTCCACTCATCTCAGGGCTCCACCCTGAGAGGCTGCTGGGCCCAGGGGCTGTCCCTTGGAGTTCAGTTCCTACCCAGAAGGGACTCAATCATGTGTTGACTGTGGCTGGAAAATGCCAGAGAGCTGTATCCCTCCAGAAAGAAGAAAAAAATGCCCCATGATCCCTGGGGAAGCCTGGAAAGGACTGCTTTTGTTCAGCAGAAGGGCCCCGGAAGGAAGAAGGGCCTGTGCACAGATAAGCAGGTGGCTGGCCCGTCACAGTCGTCACAGCCGGGGTTTGCCTGGTCTATTTACTAAGCCCATTTGCCCAGGTTCCAAAGGTAAATTGCCAGCCCTTCTCAAAAATGCTAATCAAATGTATTTGAAGTAGCAGAGAGTGCTGTGAATCACTTCGGATTACTAAAAGGCACCCATGTGTTAGCTCCCCTGTGTGTATCTTATAGAGAGGGGGGAAAGGAAGCTACAATGCTCACATCTACCTGCGTCACTTGCTAGTTAGATTAACCTAATGTGCTGTGAGTCCAGAGTTCTAGAGCACCACAGACAGCTGCGGAAAACCAGAGGTGCGGACAGATGGCCGCTTCTCTCTTCTCCATTAGTAACTATTGATGTTGCAATTAGCCACACAACCACACTGGTAACCATAGGGACCTTCTAGAGTAAATAGACGAGGACTATCTGCCTGAATGGCAGTGCTGTTGTGTCGTTGCAGAAGAAGTCGCCCATGGGGTTTTCTGGGCTGTTATATTGTTTTTTAAGGAGAAACTATTTTTCAGTTGTGATTTTAACAGAAGTTTACAGAAAGGTTGGGTGTTCATGCACTCATGCATGCATTCATTCATTGTTGCGCTTTTCCCTCCCTCTCCCTCCCTTTTCCCTACCCTAGGCCACTTTGCAATGCTCCTCTTGCTCCAAATTATTGTCATACACGTAAAGCCTAATTTGGCTCTCATCTTTATAAAAGCAGGTCACCAGAAGTCAAACTGTGTTCCCTAGAGAAGCAAAATCAGTGAAATTCACATGTCTATATGTAAGTTTGTGTATGTGTAGACAGTGAATTCAAGGGAGTGGCCTATGCAAGCTCACAGCTGCGGTTCAGGCGCCACTGGAGGTTTCCCAAGTCACATGGTTGTGATGTTGTTGTTGTTGAGTACCTTCGAATTGGAATTGACCTATGGCTAACCCTCCAGGGGGTTTTCAGAGGCAGTTTAATTGCATGGGAGGAGACTGCCCATTTTTCTCATGCAGAGCAGCAGGTGGATTTGAACCAATGTCTTTGGGATTGCAGCCCAACTTCTTACCTCTAGGCCACCAGCTCTCCTCACAGGTTGTAGAGACAGATAAACTCAGTGATCAGCAGGTCATACAATAGGCATGGGTCTGAGGAAGTTGACAGTCAGAAATGACTTGATGGAGCTGGGTTTAGTGGTGTGTATTTTTTTCTTTTCATCTTGTCAGAAACAGATCTCCAGGTACCGTTTTACTGGTACCGTTGTTCTTGTTGTGTGGTGTTGAATCAGAGCCAACTCTTAGCTGACCCTCCAGAAATCACACCGGAGGAGACTGCTCATCTTACTCCTGCAGAGCAGTTGGTTCATTGGAACCGCTTGAATTGACAGCTCACCTCCTCACCACTAGGCCAACCAGAGATGTCTGTATCACTGACTGGGTTCAAACCCCCAACTCTTAGTTTAGCAGTCTGTGCAAACACTTCGTGCCACTCAAGAACCTCTGCATTGCATCAAACGGTTTACAAAACGAGGCCAACCCAGCTGTCATCAAGGCGACTCGGGTTCCTGATGGCCCTTTTTGTTAGAAGCCAGGTGACTAGCCCCTTGCAGCCTGGGGTCACCATCACCTCTGTTGAGCTTGGCATGGAGGAAATCTTCATTGCCAGTGATTTGAGATTTGTTCACATGCACAGGATGCTTGAAGGTTTGCTCGCGCTACCACTTCTTCTGTGATGATGGCTGTTGCATTGACATCACCCTGGCCTGCGATGGAGTGGAGCAATGTCCTGACGGGTCTGATGAAGCCTTCTGCCAAAACCGTGAGTGCACGGCCTCGTGTGTTCACGGCCAGGGCCAAGGGAGGGCGGAAGGTGCCTGTGATCTTCAGTGAAATGGAAACTCTGTGTTGCCTCTGTTCTTCATCTGCCTGGTTTAGAGTTTAAGCTGTACTTTGAAAGCTACACATCAAATAAGAATTCACAGTGAGCCTCCCAAGAGCTCTAGCGGTGTGATGGTTAAGCATTCAATAGTTTGAGCCTACCAGTTACCCTCCAGATAGTTCTGGTGGCCTCGTGGGTGGGGAATTATACTGCCAAGCCAAAGATAGGCCGTTCAAATTCAGCAGCTGCTTGTGGGAAAAAGATGGACAGTTTCTTCCTATGAGATATACAGTCTCTGAGAAAAGCCACTGGAGGGAGTGCAGTGACTCGATGTCATTAAGTATTGAGAGCCACACTGCAGGAGAAAGACCTGCTAATCTGCTCCTGTAAAGGTTATAGCCTTTGAAACCCTGTGAGGCCATCCAGTCTGCCCTGTAGTGTCCCTGAGAATCGGAACTGACCTGACAGCACACAGCAACAATATTCAAATCTAAGTTATAAATGGTAAACTTTGGTGTCTCTTACAGAGTTTTTTTAAATATGTTGTTTTCTTTTTAAAAAATAAAATTTATTTTGAGATTTTAGTGAAAATTTATAGAAAACTTGGATTTACATTCATTCATTGTTACACATTTTCCTCTCTACCCAATACCCTTCCCCCAGTTCACTTTTCTCTTTAAAAAAAAAATTCTCATTTTTGCAGTTTCCTCCCCTCTAGTCCACTTTATTGTGCAGTTCTTATTCTGGACTGTTGTCATACAAATAATACCTAATCATAGATATTCCTTTTAAACAGTTCTTTCCTTCATCTGTTTCAGTGCTGTGTGCATCATTTATCCCTTCTTTTCTTAGTTTTCGCCCCAACCCCCATGTGAGTCCCGTTTAATAACAGAGGCATTATGCAATATTTGTCCTTTTGTGACTGAGATATTTCACTCAGCATAATGTCCTCCAGGGTCACCCATTTTGTATAATATTTTATGATTTCTTTGTTTTTTCAGTACTGCATAGTATTCCATTGTATGAGTATATACCACAACTTCGTTATCCATGAATTTGTTGATGGGCACTTGGGTTGTCTCCAGCTCTTTGCTATTGCGAACAAAGCCACAATAAACATGGATGTGCATATATCTGCTTGGGTGGCATTATGATTTCTTTAGGGTAAAGTCCCAGTAGTGGAATTGCTGGGTCAAATGGTATTTCTATTTCCAACTTTTTGAGAAAGCGCCTTACAGCCTTCCACAGTTGTTGCACCATTTTACACTCCCACTAACAGTGAATAAGGGTTCCAGTTTCTTCGCAACCTCGCCAGCATTTGATGTTTCCTGTTCTTAAATTTTGCTATTCTTACTGGGCTGAGATGATTTCTCATAGTTGCTTTGATTTGCATCTCTCTTAGGGATTTTGAACATTTCTTCATATGCTTGTTGGCCATCTGAATGTCTTCTTTGGTCAATTGTCTGTTCAGATTCTGTGCCCATTTTGCAATTGGGTTGTTTACCTTTATCTTGTTGTGATGCTATATGTTGTTTTCTTTTGAAAAGAACTCAAAATTTTCCAAAATATTTTTTCCCTAATCTAAATATCCTGTTCTTCTCAAAGCAGCTGCAATCCAGAAATCAGGCTTTTTTCGGTGCTGGGACACCTTTGCAGGCTGGGTCCTCTTATTTAAAGCATCTTCGACCCAAAAGTTGAACTGTTTTGGTCAATATCCCTTTGGGCCGCAGGCTTGCAGCCCTTGGGCCTTGTGTGAAACACTGGCTCAAATATTCAGCAGAGAATGGAAATCCTCAATCTCTGTAAACTTTCATTAAAATTAATAATAATTAAAAATTTTTTTTAAA